GTACAGCCAGGAATACATAAAGATGCAAATGAATGGTTGTTAGTGATGGAATCCCAGCACATAGGAGGCAGAGGCAGGTGACGAGGCAGAGTTTGAGGTCAGCCTGGTCCACAAGTGAGTCCAAGGGCAGCCAGGGTTATGACACAGAAAAACCCTGTCTTGAAAAACAAACAAATAAATAAGAACAAAGAGGGGAAAAAAGAATAAAGGGGCTGGAGAGACCTCTTGGAGGTTAAAAACACTTGCTACTCTTTGAATCCCAGAGAGACCTGAATCCTGTTTCCAGCACCTACACTGCAGAACCACCTATGCTCCAGATGCAGGGGATCTACCGCCCTCTTCTGGCCACTGCAGATACCGCAATACACATGGCATAGACATATAGACCCATACATACACATCAACTTTTAAAAGTACATCTTGAGAGAATAAAATTGTACCACTGACTTTACAGGTCTAAAAATTAACATATCCAATGCATCTTTAGAATGTATAAAACCTGAAGAAGTAATATACCCTTGCATGGAAGATTCTATATGGAAATTTAACAACCAAGAAACAGTTTACACACACATACATACTTACATACCCAGCCTCAAGTACTGGGGACCTAACTCAAAGTCAGTCACTAAGCAAGGGGTTCTACCATGAACTGTGACCCAAGCCCCAGAGTAACTGTGAAACACAATGGACAAAACCATTAATCCTGCTCAAGTGGTGACCAGAGGTGTCCCATATACCCAGGTGTGCTCACAAAAGTGAGAACAGCATTAAGTGCAAGGTACACTGGCCGGTGTCTACCCAATTACAGTAAAAAATGGGCTCTCTGTCATGCCACCAACGTATAACAGTAATAAACCTATTCTCTAAAATAATGACCTTTTTTTCTTTCTAAAACTAATTGCACCCTCATCCAGCACAGTTCTTACAACTGTCCAACTTCCAAGGACCTGTCAGACCACTACATTCCATGGAGTTGCTTTACTTCTGAGTAATGATTCATGGAACACTATGAAATGGCTCAGGAGATGGAATATTCCACAGCTTAAAGAAACACACTATTAATGTACTCTGATAGATTCTTTCTACTCTTATCTGAGAAACCTGAAAGCCTTTCTTAACTGGCATTTACCAGCCGAGCACTCCTTTATATCTCCAAGGTTAATCCTTCTTCTGAAGAAGGAAAAGCAAGCAGATACATATTAAATATATTATAATTAGGTCTCTGATTTAACATTAATGAGAAATCCACATTAAATATTAACAAAGAATCTAAACTTTCATAAATGTCATTTATTAGCAGATACAAAGACAGGCAGGAAAGCAAACCCAGACTGGTAACAAGCACCTCTGAGGCCTACGGTGCAGCACAGAGTACTTTAGAGGGGATCAGGACAGGGAGAGGCTGGCTTCGAAAACGGTGCTCTGCCTTCCATCCTCAGACCTGAGTTTGGAACCCCAGTGTGTGGGGGCACAGAAACAGTGCATTCAAGAGTTACTGGTCAGCTAGTGAAGCCACAACAGTGAGCTCCGGGCTCAGGGAGAGACTCCTCAGAAGAGAGAGAAGAAACCAAGAACAGTGGTACATGCTTTAACCCCAGCAATCAGGAGGCAGAGGCAGTCTAATCTACATAGTGAGTTCCAGGACAGTCAGAGCTACATGGTGCAACTGTGTCTTATAAACAAGCAAACAAACAAACCAAAATAAGTAAATAAATAGATCAGTAGAAAGCAATAAAAAAAGTCATTCAATATCAACCATTGGTGTCTATATGCTCAAACCTGGGTGCATGCCAGGCACTCCATTACATAAACATGCATACACATAGGATAAACACACACAAAATCATATAAAGCCCAAAAGAGCAGGCATGACAGCTCATATCTATAAATGCAACATTTTGGGAGGCTGAGACAGGAAGACGCCATAAGTTTCAAGTCAGCCTAACATACATACTAAACTCTAGTCCTGTTTCAGCTACATAGTAGAATCCTACCACAAAAAAAGAAAGAAACAAAAGGAGACCCATGGCCACTCCCAAAACCCTAACACTCCAACAACTGAGGCAAGAGAATTGTGGGTTCTAGGGTAGCCTTGGCTACTTAGTGAGACTCAGTCTTCTTGGGATGAATGCCTCACGACATTACCAATGTGCACAACATGAATGTGTGCACTATGCTGTGTGTCTCAATGATTATAAATAAATCACCACATTGATGGTTTAAAAACAATAGACTGGGTGACGGCATAGTCGATCAGACTCCCACCAGTCTGGACACTACTGCCCAACAAGAACTGTCTGAGCAAGGTCCGGCTTCTCTGAATTAGGACCTCCACTGATGAGCTGGTCTACTCAACACTCAATGGCTGGGGAAAATTTACCAAAACAGGATTTCCTAAATATTACATACAACTACAGGATGGAAGAACCAGGACTTCATATATAAAATGTTAACTGCCTACAAGGATCAAAACTGTAACAGCATGACAGTAATTCCTCTCTTAAAAAGCAACTTAAGTAACAAAGGAATATTTGAAAATGAATAAATAGGAAAACTTCCCTTCCAGCGGGCCTGAAGACAGACTTCCATCCCGACAGCAGTCACTATTCAATTTCTAGTGTGACTGCAATCACATTATACACTAGCTTAACAGTCACAAAATCGAATTTCTCTAAAACAAGAGACAAACGTCTACAGCATGACAGACTTACTGCACAGCCACATAACTGACACACTGCAGATCGGCTCACGCCTCCCCAGGTTGCCCTCTCTCCTATACCCTGTAACACACTAGCGCAACTTTCCAAGGGTTTCTTTGAAGATCATGCTTCATTAAATGGATTCATCCCTCAAATCTGACTTACCTCTGATAAATATTTCAAAGAAAAGTTTCTACAAACTAAGTTAAAAATAACTGAATACAAAATAACCTAACTAATACACAAAGGCAGCTGGGCGTTGGTGGCACACGCCTTTAATCCCAGCACTCGGGAGGCAGAGGCAGGCGGATCTCTGTAAGTTCGAGACCAGCCTGGACTACAAGAGCTAGTTCCAGGACAGCCTACAAACCCACAGAGAAACCCTGTCTTGAAAAACAAAACAAAACAAAACAAAACAAAAAATGCCAGCACTCCAGACCTATATGAGTTCAAGGCCTGTCATGGATACACAGAAAGGTCTTAAAGTAAAATAAGTGTAATTTTTAAACTGAGGAAGAAAACAGCTACTGGGAAGGCTGAGGCAGACGGACTGCTTCACCCCAATAGTCTGGGAACACTCAAGTAACTTAGAAAAGAACCAGACTTTAAAAAAACCAAGTTGCCAGGCAGTGATGGTGCATACCTTTAATTCCAGCACTCGGGAAGCAGAGGTAGATTTCTGAGTTTGAGGACAGCCTAGTCTACAAAGTGAGTTCCAGGACTTCCAGGGACACAGACACAGACACAGACACAGACACAGACACAGACACAGACACAGACACAGACACACACACACACACACACACACACGGAAAAGTAGGTCATCTGTTGTTTTGGCTTTTGATTTTTTTGAGACAGGGTCTATCTATGCAGCCTTAATTGATTTGGAATTCACTATGTAAATCAAGCAGTCCTCAAGCTCATTCGCAGAGACCCACCTGTCTCTGGTTCTGCCTCTGAATACTGGGAGGAAAGGCAAGTACCACCATGACAGGCTGAGATAATCATGTTTAAGAGTAGTTTTTAATGCTTGAAGTTTCTTATCCTTTTACAAGAGGCACAATATACAGTGTACACATGTGTTACAAATATGATAGTAACTTTAAATATTAAAAGTCAAGTAACTCTCACAAATAAATCCAACAGCTGAGGGTCAAAACTTCTATAAGCCGTGGAGGAGGAAGGCTCATTAGGTAGAAGGTCTCCCCCCTTGCAGGTACTTCCATCACTCTCAGGGTTTTCATGGGCTTGTCTTCAAAGTATGAATTTACACCATCAAATATCTTATTTATGAGGGCTCTAATAACATGATTGTTCTTTTTTTTTTTTTTTTTTTTTTTGGTTCTTCGAGACAGGGTTTCTCTGGAGCTTTGGAGCCTGTCCTGGAACTAGGTGGCCTTGAACTCACAGAGATCTGTCTGCCTCTGCCTCTCTGCCCCTCTGCCCCTCTGCCTCCTGGGTGGTAGGATTAAAGGCATGAGCCACCACTGCCCTGCTTAGCATGACTGTTCTTTAAGTTATGGTATATCACCATGAATCCTGGGCTAGACCAGAACTCATAATGCCCTTATCTTATACACACACACAGACACACATTCGCACATACATACCATGAAGTTTTGGAATTAGAGTTATGTGTAGGCTACAAACCTATTCTTTCAATCAAAATTTTCATTTTTAGAAAGATATTTTACAAAAATCATAAATCCACAATGCAGAAACAATTATAAATTCAATTATTTTACAATAGTAAAAGAGTAAAAATAACCTAATGCTTTAACCCCAAAGTAATGTTTGCTTAAAGGAAGCTGACTTGTGTCAACGAATATACCCTTGGAGATGTCCTCTTCTGTCCTCCAAGGGCACTACACAAAAAAGGCATACCAGTACACATGCAGGCAACACCCATACACCCATAAAATAAAAAAATAATAATTTAAGATTAGTGTAAAAAAATTAAAGCACAGCTCCATGGTAGAATGTTTAATTAAGCTCCTGGCACACATGGACTTGGGCTACATCCCCAACACTGAACCATGAGAGCCAGAGCTCAATACACACAGAAAGAGGAAATGGAAAGTGTGGGAGCCCAGCCAACTGTAACACAATGTTCACCTCACTTGTACTCTTCAGGTTACACTCGTGAGTAAAAGTTACCTGGTCACATAATACATATCTAATACTACTAGAAATTTTATTAATTTTCCACCTGAAGCCTATGTCAACCCAACACTGCCGGGAACACCAAGCACTAATCCGTTCACAGAGACGACATGACAAGACACTCTGGATGCTCACCGTGCTGTAGACTGCAGAGACGGTGGGAGGGAAGATCCGATCCTCCAGAGGCTGTTGTACGGGTCCTCTAGGAATTCTGGAAGGTGAGTTAAGGAGAGAACTCTAATGGACCTGCTGAGCAGGAAGAGAAAATTCTGCCAATGACCCAAACTTTTTACCCAACCTGTGGTACCATGGACTTTCTCCTCCCAAGAAACAGGAAAATCAAGTATTTAAATTTCCTAATGTGATACCTTGATTTCTCCAAAATTGCTTCCCACAATAAACTTCCATTGGAGATGAAACCAATGGCTGGAGTCCCCAAACTTTAGGCCCATTATGAGACTCGACCACCTTTGCTTTAGCCAGAAAAGAAGTACAATAGCACAGTGAGGGAACAAGGTCCAAAGAAGAGCTGGCGCCTCCTGTCCCAACTCCCAGCACCTGCAGAGGGGCTGCCTTAGTTTGAGGTCAGCCTGGAACTACTGACAATGTTCTAGTCTGTAACAGCCGCACAAAGAGCAAGCTCAAGCTTCCCGTTTCCTATAATTTTTCTAATTGAACTAATTTCTCTACAACTATCCACTAGCTTCCTATTTTTATTATTTGTCTTTGTTTTTATTTTTTGGTTTTTTGAGACAGAGTTTCTCTGTGTAGGTCTGGCTGTCCTGGAACTCTGTAGACCAGACTGGCCTCTAACTCAGAGATCCACCTGCTTCTGCCTCCCAAGTACTGACTGGGATTAAAGGAGAAAAATCACCACTGCCTGGCAGGTTTCCCATTCTTAAAAACAGGTTCTCCAGCAGTCACTTAAAATGTTTCAGAACACAAAGACATTAAAAGACAAAAGACTGTCATTTTATTCAACTGAAAACTAGGAGACAGGAGCCATCCTAGCTGGTGTGGCACTATTTTACAAGAGAACTGCTTATACCATCCCAGATTATGTACTTTCTACAACAGATGCAAATGATACAAATGATTTCACTTCCACCTGTTTTTTTTCAACTCCAACAATCCTGTAACCTGATTCCAGCAGACTGGTTCATGTTTTTAGTTACTGTATCATAAATCCCAAATGAAAAACTTTCCCTCAACTTAAAAAATACTTAATTCTTCTTTCTAATTTACCCAGAGAGTTAGGAAGACAAGCTAAGAACTACATAGCAAGTGTGGTGACTTTCAGCTGTGATTCCAGCACTTGGGAGGCAGAGGCAGGAGGATTACTGAAAGTTCAAGGCTAGAATAGTCAAGAGAGTGAGTCCTAGGTCAGCCGGGGTTACACACTGAGACTCTCGTTTCAAAAGAGTTAAGAGCACTGGCTGTTCTTACAGAGGTCCTGGGCTCAGTTCCCAACACCACATGGTGGTTCACAACCATCCCTAACTGCAGTTCCAGGGGATCTGAGGCCCTCTTCTGACTGCTACAGGCACCAGGAATGCACATGGTTTGCTCATATATACGAAATAAATAAATCTTAAAAAATTATAAATAGAGTGAAAAAAAAAGTAGTGGGCTTCTGTTTGTTTGTATTTTAAGAATGACTCTAAGTTGCCAAAGTCTGAATCATTAGTAGATTCTTTATTTCCAACAGCCAGCTTAGAAGACTGAAAACAAAACAAACAGACCCTGTGTTTTAGTCATTAAAATGTTTAAAGAGACTGTAGTGGTCTCTAGACAGTTTTTAAACTAGCAACCTCACACAATGGTTAAACACACACACACACCTGCTCCACTGGAAAGCGATGGAGCTGAAACATTTCATAAAGGAACCACATACCACATACACATCCCTCAATCCATATGCACCCTCCACACCCACCACACACATATTCTACACAATCCACATGAACACACAATTTAAAGCCACAATCTACCCATACACAATCCACACATACACACCATATACACACATGGCACATACACTTCACACACACATGGCATACATACATACATACATACATACATACATACATACTGCATGCACTATAGAAAGCAGAAACCTAATAAGTTCCAGGGTGTCGTACTCCTTGTGAGCTCGAAGTTCTTTTAGACTGAAGGAAGTTTAGCTGACATTCAGCTCTTCACACCGAGCTCTACAGTTTGCAAGACAGATGGAAAATGAGCCATACTTTCTTCTGCACTGCCAACTGCCGCTGCTTTTTCCAGGAAGGACTAATTCTCATGATGGGAGAAGCAGTTCTCAAGGGAGTTCAGGGTTCTGCCTGAGAATCTGAGCCACTCAAGTCTCCTGCTTTCTGTTCCTCTGCCAGCTCACCAGATGACTATGACTACAAGATTGCTAGTGACATCATTTGCCCACATTACAGGAACAAGTATTCTTCCTCTATTTCTACAATAAAGGATGCTGATTTCATTTGTTATAGTATACAAATTGACAACTAAATGCTGCAGACTACATAAAACAAAACTGCAGCACTACCAAAAAAATTAAAAATAAATAAATAAACAGGTATAAGCCCAATCAATTTAAAAAACAAAATTAAGGAGCTCGGTGTGGTGACTGTAATTCCAGAGCTCAGGAAGAAGAGGCAGGAAGCCAGCCAAGACTAGTCAGAGAGATCTCTTTGTAAAAACTAAGGAGGCTGAAGAGACAGCTCAACATGCACTGGTCTCACATAGAAACTGAGTTCAGTTCCCAGGAGCAGCTCACAACCACCTCTACTCCATCTCCAGAGGTCTCCTGTAAGCACACACACACAAAATGATAGATAGATAGATAGATGATAGATAGATAGATGATAGATAGATAGAATTAATTTAAACTGAAATTCTAAAAACTCCAAACAGGGTGATAGAGAGACAGCTCAGCAGTTAAGAGCACTGGGTGCTCTTCCAGGGGTCCCAGATTCAATTCCCAGCACCCACAGGGCAGCTCACAACTGTCTGTAACTCCAGTTTTAGGAGATCCAGCACCCTCACACAGACATACATGTAGGCAAACACTAATACACATAAAGTAAAAATAAATTATTTTTAAAAAACACTCCAAATAGATATTTTATTAACTTTCAATAAAGCTACTGTTTAGACCACCTCTCCACCTTAAAACCCTGGAAGGGTCAGCCGGAGACGAGGGAGAACAGTTGAGTTCTGGAAGCAGGCATTAAGTGCTTTTAGAGTTCACGTGATTCCACCAGCCTGCAGCTGAGTGCCAGCATAAGTCACAGAATGCTCATATTCCTTGAAACTAAAAGTAAAAAGCAAGCATTTTCTTAATTTTTTCAAGAGTTTTAAAAAGGTTTATTTATACTTGTGAGTGCGAAGCAGGTATGTGTGGGAGCCCTCGGAGGCCAGAACCACGCAGATCCTGGAAAGCCAGAAGAGAACTCAGTCCCTGGAGCTGGTATTTCAGGCACTTGTGAGCTGACAAACCAGGGTACTAGGGACATACTCAGGCCTTTTGCAGTAGCAGTAATGTGTACTCTCAATCAGTGAGCCTGCTCATCATCCCCTTTACTGGTTATTTCTTAGCATGAATTGCTATGATGAATGTTTTATAATTGTAAATCAATGTGACTAAGCCAACTTTGAGTGTAACTGACAAAAAAGTTGCAAACCCCACCTATGATGGTTAACACTTTAAGACCATTAATCTGTAATCTACATAGAGAGCTACAGGGTTAACAAGATGTCTTTGGAAGGGTAGGAAATTGTTTTGGTTTGGTTTGAGGTTATTTGGTTTGCTAAACTAGAATCTATGTAGCCCAGGCTAGACTGGACACGAAATCCTCCTGCTTCCATCTCTCCAGTACCAGAATTCGATGTTTAGGCCAGGTATATGTGTTCTTAGGTAAGACCAATATATGAACAGTCCTTTACATATAACTCCCAGCTTATCACACAGAATATTAAAAAGATGGTATATGCTGAGTCAGGGTTTATTAAAGTTAGTAGCTTTTGCTGTTTCATCAAAGACATTAAGTGTGAGAGCTTGGTGAGGAGGTACACACTTGAAATCCAAGCAATCAAAAGACTAAGGCAAGAGGATTATAAATTGCTATAGGTCATTCTGGGACACAGCAAGACCATGATTTAAAAAACTAAAGGCAAGCAGGGTGTGGTGGTACATACTTTAATCCCAGACCTCTAGAGGCAGAGGCAAAACGATTTCCAGGACAGCCAGAGCTATGAAGAGAAACCTTGTCTCATCCAATCTTTAAAAAATGGGAGGGGGGTACACACGACAACAATGACACTGAAGAAATGTCACACAACCATGAAAACCTGAACATTAACCCTCAGCAACTTGCTAAACAAGCCAAGTTAAACAGTGGGAGCCTGGAATCCCACAGATGGAAGAAAGGCAGACAGAGGAGGCTCCTTGGGGTTCCCTGTGGTCAGCCTAGCCAAATCAGTGAGTTGCAGTTGGTAAGAGACTTTGCCTCAAAACTGAAGGGAAGAGTGAGTCAGAAAGAGCTGGTATCAGACTCTCACTCATGCACATGGCACCCATGTCCATATACACACATCCACACACAGTGAAGTCAGACTGTCTTCTCGTGGTCCTAGCGTTTCTCTCTTTGGGAGAACACACACTGTCAAATCACATCATCACTACCAGCAGCTTGGTGCCTATGGCCATGATAGGACCACAGGTTACCAACCTTCGGTTTGGAGCATTAAGTCAAACTCCTGGAAAATGGAAAGTGACAAAGAAAATCTGACAGCACTCACTGAAACACTTCTGACCCTATCTCTGCACCGCAGACAGGCTGCCTAGGAAACTCATATGCTCTTCCAGGGCCCCAGGGCCCCAGGGCCCCAGGGCTAGAACCTTAGCATACCATGCATCTAGAGTCAAGTATCTCCAAGCCCAGAAAAACCTAGGTGAGTAGGCCAGAAGCACACTGCTCCACAAAGAAAAGCATCAGAGACCCCTTCAATGGTGCCATGCCACATTAGCTCAAAAATGGTCACCCAATGAGGTCATCAAACAAAATCCAAAGGGCTTTTCATTCACGCTGACAGAGAACCACTGTACATTTGAAAAATGAAATATGATTATTCATTAATGCTCTTTATGGAAAAAGAACTAATTGATGTCCGCTTGCGTGTTCTGCAGAAGGCACAAGC